CTGATTTTTTCAGGTGTCTTCTTTTCAATTGCTTAAATTGGAAAATTTACTGCGATGATCATTCTTCACTTTCAGTTTCACTAATGTTAAAAATAAACTTTACTCATTTTTTTACGTTGAAAAGAGAAATCTTTGATTGCCGTTTTCATTTTTCAACTTCTTCATGAGTGTTCTTATGTTTCACATTTGGTTTGTTTGTATTTTACTTTGTTCCAGATTTATTACCTGTAGTCTTTTAACAAAGAAAATACAAATCAAACTACATGTAGTTTGAAGTCAAAATGAGAAGAACAAGACATTGCACCTTTTACACACAGTTGACGCATTTTTAATATCTTCAAAGCAGTTATTTAGTAGTTCTCTGAAATAAATTGATTTGACCTGAAAAATCATTTTAAACTACAACAAATATATGTATAAGTATTTTTGACAGGTAGCAGTTTACTTTTGAATGGCTGTAAATTGTACATACAACAAACATACAAGTATTAGATGTACAGGGGTTTTTTTTGTACTTAATTGAGTTCATTCAGATTCATGCAGAACCAGGGTTAGATTGTGAATAGGAAGCGTTCCTAGGTGAACATACGTTTTGCCAAAGCATCTCAGATTTCTAGGGTACATACATGTACACGTAGCTGTCAATCTCTGTAGATCTAAGAAACAATATTGGGATCACCTAGGGTCTTAAGAAGTAACAAAATCTTTGATCACGTGGAATGTACTCCTGAACCTGTCATATGGACATCAGAGTTTACTGATTAATTCAATGCAGAAATCTCCTTTGTGTTCACAGAATGTGGCCTTGCGTGAATGCCGTTTTTGCCGCGGTCCTCTTCGCCGGGTTAAGTCAGATGGCAGTGCAGTGTATATGAACGGCGACAGAACGACGACACCTGTTGAAGGACACAGCCGGTGCGGATGTGGTTTCAAACATTACTGGAATGGAAGAGAGTACGACAACATGCCAGAAAGGTCAGGCTTACGTGCTATGATTGCAGCTGCAATGAAAAATAACGCTGCTGGAGGGCATCATAATTGAAGGGGTGAGTGCAAAACCATGCTAAGTGACGATTTGGGTGAAAAAAAAATTTTCGCGAAATGGCTTGAATTTTTGCATGTGGTCTTCAATGTAATAGAAAAACGCGGCCCTGTATTTTTGTCGCTGGTTTTTTCACCCAAATCGTCACTTAGCATGGTTTTGCACTCACCCCTTCAATTGTTGCAATTTTCGACCCAGTATCACGGGCAGGGGTGGATCCAAGATTTTTCCACAAGGGTTGGCTAGTACTTTGGGGTTGCAGAATCATTGGAGCATGCCCCCAAAATGTTGCAATTTGAGAACTGAAACCTGATTTAAAACTGTTACACTAGAAGTGTGTGACCGGCAATGGATGAGCATGCCATCTGGTGGGTAACCATACCTGAACTCTTTACTTAACCATTTGTCCGCTTTTCAAAATTTTCAGAATTTTTGGTCAGGTGGGAAGCACACTAGTTATGAATTTTGTCAACAACTCTTGTAACCTGGAATACACGTACTTACAGTAATTAAAAAACAATTAAAAAATTATTTGCACCACTTCACTAGTTTTAGTTTTTTGTCATAAAACATCGATCCAGAACAGTTTTGTCCAACACACTAAGGTCTATTACACTGTAATAAGCAAATGACTTTGTACACGTTGTATTAGTGAATATGATTATTGGTCTTTTTCATTAGTTTCCCAATTAGCTTGGAATGGGGTGGAAAGACTGTCTCAGAGACAGTGTATTGGTTCCAGTATGAACATGATCCATCTCTTAATTCCAATGTGTATGATGTTGCAACCAAGCTTGTGCAGAAGCACTTTCCAGGGGAATTTGGCAGTGAGAGGCTGGTGCAGAAAGTAGTAGATATCATTTTACGACAGACAGCAAAGAGAGAAGGAGAGAACAAAGGTTGGTTGCAGTGTGATGTTTTGTGTTAATTCCTTAACCATCGAAAGGATAAGCTAACCTTTCTCCTCATGAAACATGAGACGATAACTGACTACAAACATCTGGTTATGTGTGCACTGAAATACACAGTTAGATATTGAAATGAAAGATCACATTAGATACATGTATTAGTAACATTGTGCATTCTCAGGAGTACTTTGTATATGACAGCTAAAAATCAAATGGAAAAAAGTACCTACACTGTAGGGTTCAATCCCCTAGCCAGGTTTGTTTTTTTGTGTTGTGCTGTGTTCTTGGGCAAGACAAACTCTCACAATGCCTCATTCCACACAAGTGTATTGTACATATTAAGGGTGCATTCCTTTGGGTTGATCTGGATCAGGATCAGTGATCCAAGATCACTTGGATCATGGGGCATCAAAGGAACGGATTAATCCACTTGGGTCATGGATTCATCAGTCCCTTTGATGCACCATGATTGAGTGATCTTGGATCACTGATCCTGATCCAGATCACCCCCAAAGGAATGCACCCTAAGTGCATTCTGGATGATTAAATGCTGGTTGGTAACCCTGCAGTAAACTGGCATCCCACCCAGGAGGGGTGGGGAAGTACAAATACTCCCAGTTACTTCATGCTACAACATTACATGGGATACAATGTACATTGGAAGTGCTATCACTGTAGGTCACTACGCTCAAATGGAGACTACAGGTATCTCTTACCTACTGGTTAAATCATTTTTAGGAGCACGCCCTAACTTTGTTTCTCAAAATGCAAGTGGAGCAAGCAGTGATCAAGACACTAATGCTGTCAGCACCTTCACACCTAGTAAGATAATCCTGACAGGAGAAAAAAAGAAAACGTTACACAGAGAGGAACTAAACTTGAGTGAAACAGAAAGAGTCCTAAAGACCAGGACAGAACACCATGCTGCCATAATGCAGAAGAGAAGGAGCGGCGAAGGAGTTAAGAAAACCGCAGAGAAAGAAGCTAAAGTTCCAAAACAACTGGTACTGTTTGAAACACTCTGTTAAAATCTCAGCCTCACATGCTCTTTTACCCCTTGTTCTACATGTGTAGAGTAGGAGATGGGGTGGCCTTCATGTACATGTAATAGTTATTAGTAGAATTCTACTAGTATACCAATGCAAATGCTGTAATCTGATTGGCTGAGCCATTGAACACTATCAGCCATTAGTGTGCAGTGGCTGGAGGTCGTCTAGGAAATGGCAACATTTTTTGCTTTTTCCCAAAGATTTGGAAGAAAATTTTGATGCAAATGGGTAATTAAATTCCTGAGAGGTCTAAACGAAGGACATTTACAGTTTCTTGACTTTTTTTTTAAACAGTTGAAATAATCGAAAGAACTGAAGCGCGCGCACACACAAAATTAAAATTTTAAAAGACAATTCAATCTGAGCGATCTTTTTCAGACGCAAAGTTTAATAAATACGTCAAGAAATAATTGGAAACTGTTATTTGAAGTGAATTTTATGTATTAATTAGTAAGAATTTTACTAAAACAATTAGATTATTCGCTCTCGATTTCTATGAGGTGATAGTTGATTCAGCCTTCAGCCTCATCAACTATCATTTCATAGAAATCTCGAGCTCACGATCCAATTGTTAATTAGCAGGCTGGACTCCAGATCAAGTAGTTTAGGTTTGAGCCCTGGTAGAGATCATTGTGTTGTGTTCTTGGGCAAGACACTTTTAATTAATCTCACAGTACCTCTCTCCACCCAGGTGTACATGTATAAATGGGTACTGGGAAATTTAATGCTGGTTGGTAACCCTGAGATGGACTACTGCCCCATGCATGGCTGTATAGACCACTTGATGTGACACATACTTAGTCATTTAAAAACACCTTCCTTCCTTACATTGTATACATGTATGTTATGTGCCTTAACATGTACTGTGGAGACAGGTTCTGCTCAAACCAGCTCTGGTGCTGGTACAAATTAATCTTGTAGGTGTGTGAACATTCAGTAGTTTAGACAGGCTCTATATGTACGTGTGCTGTTTCCTGATTTATGATGACTGTGGTTTAGGTAATTAAATTTCTAATCATAATCATACTATTCCAGACTGGAGTCAAACCCCAACAAGCCAGTCCCAGTAAAACTGGTGAGACACAAATCCCATCTGCACAAGCTGTTGTGAAACGAACTGACAAGAAAGTGCGCCTGTCAACATCAGATGGAAAACAGTCAATGCTAACACTTGCCATGGACACTACATTCAAAGAGCTTCAAAACCTGATAGAGAAGGAGCTTGGCATTCCACCACAGGAACTCAGGATTAGGTAAGAACTATGCAACCTGTTATCATTTGATTTAGTGCCCTACTTCCAGTAAGTGTTCCCTTCAGTTAAATGCCGCCTCCCTCAGTTTGAAGGTTTTCTTGTATTAAGCGCCCTTTTTAAATATTACACCTTGGGCCCTGTGGTGCAAAGAGTGGATGACGCTATCCCCCTTAATAAATTGCTATTCAATAAATAAGCGTTGGCAAAACATGCTATGTTATCTATTGGTTAGCAATTTATCCAGTGGATAATGATATCCACCCTTTGAATAACTGGAACCTAGGTGGCAATTATTCGCATTTTCCCCCACCTTGTCCAGTTGATAGTTTAGTTTTGAATGTAACAAATATTTCTTTTGTTATATAAGTTAATCTAAAACCATCGCAACAAGTTAACAACTGCATCCTGGTGTATGGAAGATGGGTGCCTGGGATATCCAGGGGCCTCCACTGTGACCAGTCAGCCCCTAGACAGTGTAACGCTCCCATGGTTGGCAATTTCCGCAACCCAGCCATGAGCCCCCACACAGTCTTCCAGGTACCTGTCACACTGAGTTAACAGTGGAGACAGGGAGGGGAGGGGGGAGCAGAAAGATGTTGATGAATAGACCAACTCAACTGTTCCAATGACCGCCACGGTGGAACATGCTAGTACAATGGCGAAGAGCACTGAGCATGCAGTACCATATGTATACCACTGCCTGGAAGCACTAGCTACTCTCTGTTGTTAACTTTGTTAAACTGCATTTAACAACATTTAAAAATGATACAAATGTAGAATGTAAGGTACTTTCATAAACACCTGTTTGTGGTTATGATTTGCAAATGCTCTGATTCACTTTTTCCAGCTGCTTTTGCTGTGATTTATCAGGCTATGCAACTGACCACAGTGTGTAATGAACTGTTCTTAGACTTATTGCCTTAGACTGGTTTCAGACAGTTTCCAGCAGCCAGTGGAAATTGCAAGCCCACAGACATATAGAAATTAACATTGTAACATCGCTGAACTGGTCTGATTGGTTCCCTTTAGTTAGTAGTCCGAATTTTGCAATATGGATCATGAAGATGGACCACTCATGAATTAATTTTGGCAAATTGCCTTTTCGATTCATTGCATGAAAATAAACAGTTTTTTGTTTAGAAGATGAAGTATTTTTGCCTTCATATCAGCAGATTAAAAAGAACCATGACAAAAAGTACCTTATTGAACTAGCTTTTTAGGTCCTTATTGAAAAATGTTCATCTGGTTCTCCTTTTTTGCAAGTTTATAGACATAGCCTGTGGCTTGGCCTGTAAACCTGCAAAAAAAACAGAAATTGTCCATTATTTCTTCAATACTAACTTCGCTGTAGTTCAATAACACACATATATGATAATTATACTCTTGGCTTTACTTTACATTTCTGAACAGTGTACCCAGTACCGCAGCAGCAGCAGCAGCAGCAGCAGCAGCAGCAACAGCTACAAGTAATGTACCACAATTGACCTACAAACAGCTTGAAGAGCACATCAACAAGGTAATAAATTGATGAGGTTCTTTAAAAGTACTGTGTTACATTTGCAGGCATGGTGTACATGAGGTAAACAATTTTCTTCAGTTACAAGTTGATATAGGTGAATTAACTCCATCAGTAGGTGAAAGGTTGAGTCTATGTTTGACCAAAGTCTCCCACACTGTTACCAGAGCTTATCCTAGTCTCTGTAGAACGAAGTGACTAGTTCTGTAGGATTTCTATCACCTGGCTGTGGATGGGTGTCTAGTCCATTGCAGTGTTACCCCTCAGGGTTAAATTTATTTGACTGGTACCTTTTCATACACCTGGGTGGAGAGAGGTATTATAAGAGAAAAATATCTTGACAAGAACGTAATGTAGTTACCTGGCAAAGGGTTATTTAGGGCACAGGGGTTTCCTTAGGTAATTTGCTGAAGGTAATAAATTTAAAGGTAACCCCCATGGAACATTTGGAAAGTGTTCACCATTTTACAATCTCTCAATATTTAACTTTAATATTTTAACTTAATATTTTAACTTTTATTTATTATAGTTAGGAATTTTTAGGAATTTCTAAATCATTGTTACTATATATATATATATATATATATATATATATATATATATATATA